TTACACATTTCTAATCAGTTGTTCTGAGACCCATTAATTAATATGACTCCATTCCGTTCTATAATTTACCTGTATTGTCTTGTCAAAAGAATGAAGAACAAATAGCAATAATTCTAAAACTGCCTGATGCTCACTCGGATTTCTCATTCTAAAGAAACACAGACTTAAAAACCAGATTAAATGGATGACTGAGGACAATTATTAACTCTTGCTAAGGGCAGTCATTCAAATTCCGTCACTGCGTTTGGTAAGGTAAGCGGCTCAGTTCTGACATTCGTGCACGTTAACTGAAGGCGTCACGTAGAGATCAGGTTGTTTTCAGTTTATCAAAGTGGATCAATTCAGCTGAATGACCTGCTGTAGTCGCTGCATCGATTATTTAGAAATTTAGATTAGTAGTTTACTCTTAATGTCAAGTAAATAAGTGCACTCATTTGTATAAAACACCAACTTGAAAGACCATGGACTTGAAATGAGAATTGACATGATCATAATACGGAACAAAGTTACGTGAACTCATTGTGGCTTCCTGTTCCGATAATTTTAACGAGCATAAATTTTAAACGGTAATTAACACATTTTTGTTATCTTTTGTGGTGAAATGAATGTGAAATCAAGCCTATGGAATATTGTTAAAATTGCAATATCACTGAGTATATTAATCATACGATTCTTTTTTACTGCCTTTAGTTTAAATTCTTATTTTCTTAGCTGATGATATAATAGTAGGTAGACTCTGAAAGACTAGATAAAAAACCTCTCGGTGATACTAAGCAATTACCAGATTGAAATGCAAAAATATTGAAACTATACCTTTGGTCTGAATAGTGGCTAGGAATGGATATATTTTCTATAATTCATCTCGTGCGTCGTTTGAAAGCCATGCTCTTGTTGTGGCCTTCATTCTGCACGATGTGATAATGAGTGAGTCATTGAGAAGTCAAAGCTGGGGGTCAAAATGAAGGTTGTTTCATTGTAGCTATCGGAATATCGAAAAGTTATTTAAATGCCATAATGAATGAAAATCGTAACCCTTACTAACTTGTGAAACTAGCTTAGAGCGCACATCCTTCCCTTTATGATTTCCCTATTGTAATTAAATTTCCCTACTTTAAAGAGGAGAGTAATTTTTCATATCATTCACATGTTATTCAGATGACTGTGTCGGGTTTTTGTCTCTAAGCCTGGCGGCATGCTAGGAGCAATTCACAGGCAGTTCTATCCGACCATGCCGAATGTAGTATGCACCGACACAAACCAGACTGAGAAAAGTTGTTGGTTACTACCAAACGCACTTTTTTAACAAATTTCCTAACCTTTACTACTCAGCTTTGACTTGAGTTGAATTTACAGTGCTTTTACGTTATTCATCTTCCTGTTGTCTATTATGAATTGTTATCGGCTATATGACTTTGTTATCGGCTATATTACTTTGTCATCGCCTATTCGCAGGTATTTAATCTACATGTCGTTGCATACTGATTCAGCCGATGGCTCAGTCAGTAATTTATTCTCTTTAACAAATAGATTCCAAGGTTACGTGCGTCTGTTCAGTAATAGATCACAGATGACGTCAAAATGTGGTAAGAACAAAAAGTGGCATGATAATTGTTTCTGTACGTCTGTCCTCCAATAGATCATAAGTGAGAATCAATCAAAATGCGAGCATAACTGAGCTTATTATATTATATGCGTTAGACGCTGATGGAAAAAAACAAATATTAATTTACCTTGCCGGACAGAGTGACAAATATTGAGAGCGTTCTGTTATACGTATGAACCCATTGCGATCATCTTCTTTTGAATGAGTTGAAGTCTCTCCGCTAAATCGATATGGATAAATACGACCCACTCATTCTCGTGATTTTTGTTTGCCTTACAATACACAATAGCAAGTTCTAAAACGAAACTGGTCTAATTTTCATCTCAGCTCTCTTGACGGAGTAGTTATGTCCCATCCAGTTATACCAGTTGACACCATCGCCATAAGAGAAGTGCTTCCCATGATGATACAGTCCATTCAGGTTAGAGTGATGACAGCTCTCGTACCACCAGGCTCCTTTGTACTCCACAGCACAGTTACTAACCCAGCTGTCGTTGTCCTGATCTTTGGTTGTAAAGAAATGGCCACGATGACGAGCAAGAGAATCACCAGCAGTTCCTGAAATAAAAGAAAACTAAAAGGTATTAAGATATTTGATAATGGCTGCATTGCACAGGTAAATGCTGATTCAGCATGATCAATTATAGTGTAGCGTCATAACTGTAAGCTGTGAAGGATTGTGAGTCGGCGCTGCAAGGTGCAAAGTAGTGTTTTTCTCCCGTTTAATTGGATAAATTCATCCTTGTTAAGTACACTATAGCCACGAAGGATACTCAATGCCTCGGGTATAGTTTTCTTCATTAGGAACCTCCCGCCTAACATTTGGAAAAAAAGGAAAATAAGATGTCATACCATAATTTAAACCACATTTAACGAGAACCATTATTTAGTATAAAAAGTTTAGTATCACAAGCAGAGGTCCACCTACACAACATCGTTCATTTACCTGAATAAGTGCCAAGGCTGAGCTTGTATTTAGTCCTCTCGCTGGTAACTGCAAACATGTCGTACTCGGCGTAAGCAGTGTTGCCTTTGGTGTCCATAAGATCTACTCGAAGCCTTTTCTTTGTTTTTGTCAAACGGTGTATCTTGTCCAGTCCCAGCCAAAATTCTCCATTCAGGTCACCAAAGCCATTCTTGTAATCGGTCCAGCCGCGGTAGAAACTTACCGAGCCATCCAGTCTCTTTTGGAACACCGTCCACCCCCCACCGGCTGTTGTCTGGTCACAGTA